TATATATATATACCTATAATATATTTGGAATCAAACACTCATGTACTATTAGTATAAGGTGCCAAATAAAATTGTATTGTATTGTATTGATGATGATGATGATGGATGATGATGATGATAATGATGATGTTGATGATGATGATGATGATAATGATAATGATGATGTTGATGATGATGATGATGATGATGATGATGATGATGGATGATAATGATGGGTGATGATGATGATGATGATGGAGACTAACCTGGTCAAAGTCGTTATCAATGCGTCCTCCATAGATAGCAGTAGAAAGTAAAGATCGCAGAGCATCCCATGGGATTTTATTGGGTGGCAGATTAGTACGACCCTGAAACAAATGATTGAGAAGGTGTCAGTAAGAAAAATGAAAATGGCTTCTCCTTTGGCGGGTTTTGTACATGAGTGGGAAGCCAAACTTACAGCACCTGCACAGCGGTGCAGAATGTCGCAACATTGAAATGGCTTCCAATGACCGTCTGAGGGTAAACTGTTTGTGGGTTTTCTACGAGTGGCAAATTAACTTACACAGCGTGTGCAGAGCACAGTATGACTCTGAAATTCTTCATTAGCTTCTCTTGCTAGATCAACCAACATGGCGGCTGTTTCATTGTTTTTATATCTCAAGGGATTTTGAGTCATGTGGTTGCACCCCAAGAATAATTCCCATTAACTAAGAAAGGAATCTCTAAGCAAGTATTTATTAGTCGTTACCTGCGCGACAGAGTCAAGCCAAGTATCCAGGGTGTCAAAACCAACTTTGAGATCAGATTCAGTGAACTCATATCGCTTGGACCATCCGAGGGGCGAGTAACGCAGACGTTCTTGTACGATGGCATGTAGCCAGGCGARGAGGAAGTACAGGCGAGCACGCTCACTTGGCGCCTGTTGACAAAATAATACAAATTTAGTTACACAAATTTACTTAATCACGATGAAAAACTAAATGAACAAGAAGAGTTTTGAAAAAAAAATGAAAAATTGTTCTGATAACAAAAACCAAAGCTAGGCTAAACTGGTTGTCATTTTTAAGAGGTGATGAGAAAACAAAGATTAGTATAGCTAACGAGTATTGATGCCCAATGCAATGGTTCTTGAAGTGTGCTGTACGAGCATAGTTTTCCTATAGTTGTTGTTGTTGTTTTTGTTTATTATGACCGTATAGGACGAAACCTCATAGCTCGGAACTTGTAAGCAAATGCACAGCATGCAAGCCCACAAGGATGTAATAGATGTGCAAAAAGTGTACCCTGCTGTGGCCTGAGGGGCACCGCCCCGAATATAGCTATTACAAACGACTGCAGGCCAGCCGGGCAATCGATTTTCTTGTCTCTTTTCGCTATATATTTTGATTCATCTAGGTTTTTTTATTGCCATTTTTAACAGTATTCAAACGTGAAGGTTTTGGTAGCACCAGGCTATAAGCTTTATGCTATTAATGCTTTTTTCTGTGACTTCGACTAACCTGACACATGCGAGATGCAGGGACAGCACTGAAGGTCCTGAGAAGATTAGCTTTGACTCCTGGAGGAGGCTCAAATACAAAGATACGCGACGCACGCAGCAGATTGACAGGAACCTGGAATATATATCACAAATATAATGGTTAAAAATACAACACCAAATGCGAGAGAGATTATGAGGAATCGTTTATTTATGTCAAAGTAGAGTGGACAAGGAATGATATTTTTAATGACATTTTCAGTTTTTGTAAACATTTCCCCAGATTTTTGAACATTATTCCCCTTCAAAGTTCACTGCGCCATCTTGAATGGTAACCTTGCCTTTGCATCGAAGCGAGACGAACGGTGAGCTTGCAATGATAGATACCTTTTTATAACACATTGGACAATTATTCAAATGTCTCTATCATTGCAAGCTCAAAGTTCTTCCCTCTTCGATGCAAAGGCACGGCTACCTTTCAAGGTGGCAGGGAACTGGGTTCCCTGCTAGCAGAGTCTCTCTTCTCTTTCTCTCCCTTCTTTCAGGCGGGGAGGAAGGAGACTATGCTGATGTAGAGCATTTCCTTTGATACATCGCCGTCCACGATGGTGGACGAACAAAACCAGTTTTAAAACCGGTTTTTAACCGATTACATGTAGTGCGCATGAGCAAATGTAACACACCGTGGCGCCAAACATTGTTTGACGAGAGCGGCTGTCAAATCATGACAGCGTTGCTAAGTTACGCCACGCATGCGCGATAGAAATAACGTCCTACATCGGCAGAGTCTATTTTTCTCTCTCAACTAAAACAAAAGGAAAATAGGCTCTGCTAGCAGGGAAGGAATTGGGACTATTGAAAAACAGACTTGAATTTGAAAATTTGTTAATTTTTGCTTCTATACCTTTGGATTGATTTCCATGGTAAGGAAGAGCCTGAAGTTCGCGTGTGGGCTGAGAGTGTGTAGTTTCTTTTCCAATGTGACGAGCCACTGAGGTGCAAGATGTACGTTCTTCAACAGCACCCATCTAATTACAAGAGAATTGAGAGTTTGACGTTATTAACTGTGCATATAAAATAACAGTTTCAGTATAATATATTTGAAATATAACGCTCGCGCTGATTAGCTGGCTATCGTGTTTATATCTGACAGAAACACGATCGCGAAAAATCGTTCAAAAATATTTTATAAGAGTAATATGAAACGGCTGATTTTGTCTCTGTACTTAGAAATGAACACTCTATGGTGCTCTAGATCACTCGAAAACCAAGAGAAACACTCAACTATGCTGTGTTCCTAAGCTTGCTTCTCTCTTGCTCTTCAATTCCCAGCGTGTTCATATCACAGTACAGACACATGCGCGCGTGTTTTATATTCCTTAATGAAAGCGATTACACTAGGCAGCTGCATTGGTTGGAAGCTCTCACAGAAACCTCTGTGCTGCTCTAACTCAAGACACGGCTAACTTAGGGATTTTGTGGAGGGAGGAAAAATGGAGAACCTGGAGCAAACCCTCGAAGCACAGGAGAGAACCAAGAAACTATACCAACTGACATGTAACGCCGAGTCCAGTAATTGAACTCATGAGATCCTAGAGATAAGTGCTCTACCAATACATTAACCTTGAATCCCAAATATTCTTTAAGATGTCCCTTACCGTCCTGACTTGACTGCAGAGTTGATGGCTTTCTCAGCATCGCTGAATCCCTCAGCAGATCCTGAAATCAAATGGACATTTTTTGTCAACCAAAGTCGCTTCGAAAACAGCATTCACTAAATTCAAAACTTGTTTTTGGGTTAATTGACAAACTTGAAGGGAGACAAGTTCGCCTTGTGATTCATTAATCAAGATAATAAAGCCGGTAATGGTGCAGATGTAACCAATCACAGTGCGATATTAGTCACTGTTCAACCAATGAAAATGCTTAGCCATAGCACCGTAACGATCACGACGCGGCACGGATACGGTACATAATTGACAACACCCTTTAGATCAATCACAGTGCGATATTAATCACTGTTCAACCAATGAAAATGCTTAGCCATAGCACCGTAACGATCACGAACGCGGCACGGATACGGTACATAATTAACAACACCCTTTATATCAATCACAGTGTGATATTGTCACTGTTCATTCAATAAAAATGCTTAGACATAGCACCGTCACGATCAAGGCACGGCACGGCACGGATCGTTAGCTTTTTTACAGAAACGAAATCTGCTCTAGGGATTGGCCCATTAGCTTACCAATAGCAATAGAGGTACAAGGTTGATTCTGTTCTGCTGCCAGATCATCCACCCATCCACTAGCATCATAACCAGTCACAGAACATAACAGGAGAGGCGTCGACGCTTTGACCTGAGAAAAACATATGATGTTATGTTATCACGGAGGCGACATAATTATAATAAACACTCAGTATATCGTAGTACATAGAACGTATTTACAAGCAATGTATTTCATAAACAAGAAAAGTAGAATAAAAACTACAAAGTATGAGTTATACGCAAATCTAAGGATATCAAAGTAACTGCTTATCGCCTTAATACTCTAGGGCTATTCTTACAACACTGTTTCAAATAGAAAAACGCTGTTTAAAAACTTATCTTTGTTAAAGGGGCAATTGGATGAAAACGCCCCAATTTTTCAAAGTCCGAATAATTGAAGTATTTGTGGATAATTTGACTCAATTATGATTATGTAAACCAGATTAGTGAAAATTATCGCCTGGGAGCCACTTGCAGTTGAGAAATTTTGGGTTGAAAGAGAAAAGAACAATAGGGTTGAGTAAATGATGTCATTTACTCACAATCTAGATGCTGAATAAAATTGATAATTTTTATCCCCCACTTTTTACTGTGAAGAAAATATGTTGCTTGGCTACTATTGGGGCCATACAGATACGTCTAACTAAGTTTAAAGTCATTTCCAATTTTTATCCATTTTCATCCAAGTGCTTCTTTAATCCTAACCTGATAGCTATGATTGACTTTCTCTGAATTTTGAAAGGGGTGATTACAGTCAGTGATACCCTTAATGGTCATTCCTGAGAACAAGAAAACACTCTTACCTCTTTTTCCACCACATTTGCCAGGTTCAGAGCCTCTTCAGCTGCCTGCATGAACGATTCTCCAAACACGACGTTGACAACTTTATGGAGCATGGAGATGACACGATCAGGACGCAGTGCCTGGATGACTAGCAGTTGGTGCACTGATGCGCCTGTAGGACCTGTAGTATTGAAGTATTATATATATGAGCATATTATATATATGTTCTACCACCCTAAGATCCAAGTTAATAGGCCATTTGCAACAGTCACTTGCTGATGTATCACTTTGATAACGAATCAATTGAGCCCGGCAAAGGTCCCTTGGGAAAGGCCCTGCTGGATGGCAAAAAAACTTTAAAATGCTTAGAATCTTGAAATCTTAATTATCTTTTAAGGGAAAAAAGTATTTTGAAAAAGGTTTTGGATACGACAGTAATCCAGCAAAAGTTCTTTAGATAAAGGACGCCCAATTTTTGTAATTTTTTTCCGCAAATGGCTTATTGCTTAAAAATGCAATAAATGGCTTACTTAGTTTGAGGCTTGGATTCCAACAGGCTGGTACATCTTGTTCAGGTGTTACAGATTCTATCCATTCAAAGAACTCCTACAACAGCAACCACAAACACAAACTTATTATCCTCATTCTCACGTATATAAAAACACAGAAATTAGAAGAAAACAGAATTGCTAGTGCATGATATTGGAATAATAAAAACACTTGGTGCTGAGATAAGTTTTCATAAACCACTGGTAATCCTTATATTTTCCCCCTAACTAATAGCAAAAATTGGTTATTTTTTAAACCATTTAACTACAAATCATAGAGTAGTATAGGGGTTGGGGGTCCCAACTCACACGCCACCCCGAAATAAGCCGCCTCAAAAGCATACGCCCCATGATCGTTCGGGCTTTAAGAGCAACGTGGCCCGGGTTTCTTTCGCCAAGAGATTACGGGAACTTCCCACCATCCACGACCCATTTAAGACCGTGAATACCCAATGAAATGAAGAAGCCACCAATGAATGCCATTTAGAAGAGCATATTTTTGACCATTGTTTCGGCAACCATTTTCGGCTACTTTTTCTACCCCACACAGGCATTCCTGGTAGACACATTTTTGCACAAGTATTTTTTTGTGCCCTCTGCGCTGGTAGCAGGCACCAGGAATGTCCGTAGTAGCAATTCCCAGATTTTTGGATAGCCGCGAGACAGTGCCTTCGTAGCAAGGGTGTCCACCAGATTGACACCCTCTATCTACGTCGCGGTAGTTGCGCCAAAGTTGCTACGTAGCCCGGTATGCGAAGTCTGTAGAGACCTTCCAAGATCTCCAAAAGTATTTGTGTAGTTCTTTGTTTTCCTAGCATGTATGCGACCATACCCGCAGCTATGTAGAGATACATCTATATACCTATGGACCCACGGAATACCCCTATGGATCCATAGGTACCTAGCTATGTTCGAACCGTATTCGTAGATATATATGGCAACACCCAAGATACTATCTGAGGAGGAAATGGCAGGATTGTTGGAAGATCGACAAAATGGCGTAGGGCTGCAGAAGGTAGCCAAAAAGTACGGCATAGGCATACCAAAGATACGCAGGATAGAGCGAGAAAATGGTCTGGAGGTAGCAATCCCCGAAAAGCCTCCAACTACAGACCTGCAGAAACATTTCCTAGAAGTGCAGGATTCCTTTGCTATAGTCTTGGACGATCTCCAAAAAGCTAGAGAAGAACTCCGAGACGCAAAGGAGGAATTGCTAGCCAAAATGGAACAAAAAGAGGAACCCGAAGAGGATTCCTTCGAAGAAATAGAGGGCGAAGTGGAGAAAGTATCCACGAAAATAGACTGGCAAATAGCTAGCAATGTGCTATTTGCGCTMGTGGGCGTGGCTGCCGTCGTTTGGGCACACAGCAAGCCACCCAAAGTAGTCTACTACAGACATCCAGTGGAGGATACGAAACCGCAGAGAAATTCTAGGATTCCGGAGATGGAGTAGAGGCGAACGCCCTTTGCAGGCCTAGGATTCCGGAGTAGAGACGTGCACCAGTCTGTCTTTCTTCTTTGCCTTGGTAGTCTTTTCCCTACCTATTTTGCAGTATAGCGGTGGTGGAGACGTCCAGTCTATTTTCTGCTCCTCCAGAAAGTGTCCCCAGACCGGAGTGGTTGCATGTTCTACCGCGCAGCCCTCCAAAACACACTCCGAGCATTTTTCGGAAAGGAATAGGATTGTCCTTTCTTTTTTTCTGTAGGTGGTTTTGGCGTATCTCCAGCATTGGTATTCGCCTGGATGCATATGTAGCGCCTGCACGCATTCTTTGTTGGGCGGCGCAGGCACTTCCAGTAGTCTTTCTGGATTTTTGGGAGGGTCTATTTTCCTAGCCAACTCGTAGTACGTATCCAAACCGGGTCCTTCGGGCACGAAGGCAGTGGCTATGTTGTTCTGCCACTCCAGCAGTATTTCTTCTCCTGGTATGGTGGTGCGTATGTTGCCGTTGGCTTCGAACTTCCCAGCCGCAAATGCGTCCAACATTGCTTCTACTGCCCACGCAACGCGGGTCTCTTTGCCCCTGCGCAATACTACGCGGTGTCCTCTTGCCAACCAGTTGGCATCCAAGTCTCTGGGGATCGAATATCCTAGTATCTTGTAGTCTCCTGCAGGTATTTGCTCCATCCTATGCACTTTGGCCCGCGGGCTTTCCTCTCCAAAGAACAATCTACGCAGATTGTCTGTCCTTCTGGAAATCCTATCCAATAGTTTCCTGTATTTCTCCAATTCTTTTTCTATTCTTTTTCTATTCTTTTTCTGTTCTCTTCCTTCTGCCGCAGGATGGATTGCCTTTGTTCCGACAGTTCTGCGTGGTATCTTTTCGTAGCTTCGACCCACTCGTCTCCTTACAAATCATCCCGTATGTCTTCCAATCTTTGCTGTCGTTTTCTTTTGGATAGAAAGGATATTCTGCGGTCCGTAGGCACTTCTAGTATTCCAAACAAACTCTTTTCCACTCCTATCTTTTGTGCCTTCTTCGTGCGCCAAACCCACTCCACGTGCTCCGTAGTTGGGAGAAAGTCTGCGATCGTAGGCGGATCTTTGTGCACTCTGGTGGGTTTGTTAGACTCTGCCAACACGGTAGGGGAATCTTTCGTGCAGCATCGCAGCGGTAGTATTTCCACTGGGTCCAATCCACGCACGTCTATACGGAATATGGGGCATTTGCGCAGACCAAACTCTGCAATGGCCCAAAGTACGCATTGTTCCCATCTTTCGTTGCCCCGTACACGTATACCGGCTATGCGCCCCGTTGTCGCATGGCAGTACCAAGCTAGGAAGATTTCTTTCGTTTCCTCGCAGCAAATACACAAACATCTGTCCAAGTGTTCCGCGAGTGCCAACCACATGTTTTTGGGTGGTTGTACTACGAATATGTCTGCTAGTGGCTCTATAGTCTCCGCAATAGCATTTGTGTTTTCTTTGGAGAAATCCCTACCATAGATGGATATTTCTACTCTGCTGCATCCTCTTTTTTGCACATCTGGGTGCAGGAATGTCCTACGCAGGTGGTCGTTCGGACAATCCACGTACTCTGCTAGCTTTGCGCCTACTGGATTCTGCACTTCTCCGGCTTCGAAGTTGGATACTATTTTGTTGTATATYTTCGTACGTTTTCCGTCTTCCATCCAAGTACAAACATGTTCTCCCACAGCATGCGTGTTCTCCAAAATCGTACCGTTGCGCCAACCGCCACTATGCTGCGGCACGTATCCCAACTCCCGCAAACGACGTACCAATGCGACTCTATCCAAAGTTCCGGAGAAATCCTGTGTGTAGTCCACGGAATAGATACCATATCCGTGCGCATGTAGCAGCCTAGCAAACTTGGAAATGTTTTCGTCTACAGCTTCTATGGACAACTCCGAGGTGTCTACTTTGGCTACGAATACCGCGGCGGGTTCTCCATGCAAACTGGACCACTTGGCTGCCATATTGGAGACGCGGTCTACTATGTTTCCCTGCCTGCACGTGTGCAGATGTCTCCGTGGCTGCGATGGATATCTTGGAGACTATTGCCTTCGCATTCCTACAAAGCAGCTTCTTTCCATACAAATTCTCTTCGGAAACAAAACCATAGACAAACACATCGTCTACGAAAGGAGGCAATCCTTCTAGTGGCTGCAGACTGGTTGGTCCTTCGTTGCCCCGCAAGTAGTCGCACTTGGATATGTCTGGCAGCAGGTTTCCGTCGCAGGCATTGTCCAGCAGCAAATGTGCTAGTAGCCTACTCTTTGCTCGTATACCCATCTCTTGCAATGTAGTCGAAATACTCTTTTGCTCTTCCATCTTCTATATATAGGAGTAGAAGGTTTTTGGCTACTTGCAAGTGCCTTCACCTTGCTACGGACACTACCAGCGCAGTGGACACAAAGAAAATACTTTTCCTACGCAAAATGTGTCTACGAGAGTAGAAAAGGTAGCCGAAAATGGTTGCCGAAACAATGGTCAAAAATATGCTCTTCTAAATGGCATTCATTGGTGGCTTCTTCATTTCATTGGGTATTCACGGTCTGAAATGGCTCGTGGATGGTGGGAAGTTCCCGTAATCTCTTGGCGAAAGAAACCCGGGCCACGTTGCTCTTAAAGCCCGAACGATCATGGGGCGTATGCTTTTGAGGCGGCTTATTTCGGGGTGGCGTGTGAGTTGGGACCCCCAACCACTATACTACTCATAGTATCCTCAAGAAAACAGAATTGCGATTGATGTAAATGATATTGGAACAACAGTAATAAATACTTCACAAGTGAGATAAATTCTTATAACTCCGTTGAAAGCTTTGTTTCCCAAACTGACCATCTTTGGTTGCAATCAAACTGGATAAAGCATTTGACTGCATTATGGTACAAGGACCTTACCCTACGGTTGGTGTTAATGTAGGTCTGGATATCCTTAAATCCTTCCATCTTCGTCAGTCGGTTCAATGCCGTTGCCTAGGAAACAAGAGACTTGTAGTATTAGCCTCTCGATAAATACGAGTAAACGCTGAGAGATTCATAGTGAATAGTGCCGTTTCCTACGCTTCTCTCATGCATCCCGCGTGTTCAGCATCCCGCTTGTTTAGATCAGAGTATCAAAATACAGAACTGGGGTGTTTATCATTTACCAGCAAAAACTGGAAGTTCCATTTCGAAAACAAATGGTATGAAAACTCGGTCATCCGATGGAGATAATCCACTTTTCCCGCCCTTTTCGGTTCTTCCGGTAGACACGTGTACCATTTTGTGGAAGAAAAAGTTTCCCGCTCCTTTTTTTTACCATTAGCAAACGAATTTCTAACCTTATGGATTGGTTGAAATGGTAAGCACCCCTGTTTTATATTTCTTAACTGAAAGTCATCTGGTGCATTCAGGAAGGATGTGTTACCTGATCAGGGTTAAAGCCATGCCACTTCGCTGTTGTACCGGTTGGTACAGCTTCACTGCCGCGCAGGAACGTGTTGAATTCTTCTTCAAATTCCTCCTCACTAGAAAAACCAAAATATCAATATTTATTAATGATTATTAGTTATTATAACAAAGGCTATAAAAATTAGGCAAAGTTGTAACCTAACAAAGTGTTATAGCGTGACTTTGATGGCACTTTGATGGTAATTTGAAATGTTGTGACAAGTACCGTGACTAGTACCGTGACTGTGGCGTGACTGCGATGGTACTGTCAGGAGCATTTTGAATAAATAAATACAAATCTTGCACTTGGATTGGTCAAAGAAATCCTTATTTCCTTTCGGTGACCGTGCCGTGTATTTTATAGCCATGTGACCCTAGTTAGGTGGGTGTTGTATTGTAAAACCAAAATTAATATTTTTTTACCCTGGATGTCCTCGCAAGAAGATTCGGCACAGAAGAATAGCGAAGGTCATACGATCAACATGCATCATACCACGGGCTACCCTGTGGTACACGATCTACAAACACAGACAAATATCACATGTTAAATCATAAAGCAGTGAAACCGATTTCCAAATGGTCTGAAACCACGGGGTTCTGGAGTTTGAATAGTTAGGAAAATGGCATAGAGTGGGAAGTGAGTCACAGATCTTGTATTCAGTTTACCGACGTTTTGATTGGATAAATCATATTAGACGACAGTGGGAAGTCATTTAATTATTACGGCATGTCGTACCTTATATATACGTTTACTACTCATACAAAAAGTATTCTAATAGAGGCAAAATGAGTACTATCTAACATAACGCACAAGGTACGACATACCTTAACAATGAAATGGCTTTCCATTGCTTTTGCGTAAATCATTTATTCAATGACATGTCTGATTCAATCGCGTGCTTTTAAGTACTTGAAAGTCTAAGGTAAGATAGGTGCACAACGGCTACGATACGGTTACAAATATGCCGTAAAGTTCCCCAATCATATATGAAAACCACTCCAACACTATGATCAAACGTCGAATTTCACATGAGCCGAACCTAATGACATCAAAGGAGACCGCCTTGTCATCCATTGTTTCAATCAGGTTCGGCTCATCCATTTGACCTGATCCCAGTATATCATGTAAGGTATACTAATTGCTGTGACGTACCTGGAACAAGTCACTAGTGAGTACTTTGAGACGAGAAGCAGGGTCCTTGATGCCCTTTAGATGAGGGTTCTCGTACAAAATACACTGGAAGATGTCCAGGAAGAACTGCAGACTGTACTGGTACAGGAAGTGAACCTAAATACAAAACCACACAAGAATATAAGTCATGAGTATTTAATATATTTAAGGGGCGGATACAATTTTCTCAGGAGGGGTGAGTCAGGACGTTCACAAACTCAAGTACCAACCATGCAGTAGATATTAAGTCATCTAGGGTTGAGAGGGGGGGGGGGGGTTCAGCCACCCTGCTTTTGCGAATAATCATTCAATCTATCCTTAGAATAAGTCAAGACAAAATATATATAGATATAGAATCCGACTATCTATTAATTTTCTGGAACTCTGAAGAAACCTCTGAGTTGATTTAAGTTGGCTAGTGTCATTGGACCTACCATATGCAGGGCTTCTAGAGTAAAGTAGATGCTGCTACAGTAATGTGACAGTGGTCTGTACTGTTCAGATACTGATTCCACCTCGGCCATCACTACGTCTGTTTCTTCTACCTTCCTTGTGATTTCTGCTGCTTCTTGCTTCAGCTTCTCAAGGGTTGCAATGATTCTGATTTGTTTAATACAAACAATTAGGATAGAAAGCTTACTGTGCAGACACACTAGACTGGACCACTTGAACGAAATTTTAAAATTTTGTTCTTAAAAGATCAAAAAACTTTAGCCAATCAGGAGAGAGTAAAAATCAGTAGAGTGCCTTCAGTCAAACTGTTGAATAGTTAGATAAATGTATTTATTATATAATTACCAATGAAATATCTATTTTTCTCTATTTCGAAAAATTGATATCTTCACACGTGAAAATAACATGTTATTTTCACGTGTGAAGATAACACCATTGCGATGACTATTCAAAAATACACGGAAATAATTGCCTGAAAAAGCCAAAACATACTCCATTGATAATTATATAATAAACAGAATATTACATGGGCGCTTGGAGATACGAAATTTATCTTCTCGTGTTGAAAATCTCTCACTCGTTCGCTGCGCTCACTTGTGAGAGATCTTTTCAACACTCGAAGATAAATTTCGTATCTCCGCGTGCCTATGTAATATCCTCTATATAACTTAGATAACTATTTAGTTGACGTCACCTAAAAGAGTAAAAGCGCGCCAAATAACGGTCATGCTAATCCGGGGGGTTGTTTTACCAGAGAATGAGTGAATAGACATTCATCATCGTTTCTCCCCCTGATCTCAGTAGCTGTTTACTCGTAGTTACAAATTTATGTGAGGTCAGCTAAGATAGTAACTAACTTATCTAAATTAGGTGACGTCAACTATTCAACAGTTTGACTGAATACACTCTATCATTTTGACCTCAGCCAATCACAATCTCTCATTTCCATGGATGGCGTCGATAACATCTAAGTTTCTTCATCAACTATCTAGGTTTCGCTGCTTTTTTCTGATTGGTTCAAGGCCGGTTTAGACGGTACGATTTTCGCCTACAACTATCGTATACAACACGCTCGCGCCATCCTACAACTCGAGTCGTAGCGTGTAAATCAAGCCTACAACTCGCCTACGATAGACACGAGCGTGTTGTGTACGATAGTTGTAGGCGAAAATCGTACCGTCTAAACCGGCCTTTAGGGAACTGACAAGTTGCCGCGAAATAGAGGTTGGTCACTAAAAGAGGTTTACTGCATTTGCAAAGAAAAACAAACGTAGTCTTAAAAGCTAGCACTATTCAATGAGGAAGAGGATGACTCACCGATCGTCATCCAAGATCTTTCCTTTGGCTTCGTTAAGAGCTTGCAGCAGGGACTTCTCCAAGTGACGCAGTCTCAGATGAAACTCACCTAAAACAACCAGGCAAAGAACGAGTAAGTGTAGAAAGATAGAGAAGAAAATATGATGCAAAGGTTTGATATCATTGCACAGTGAAGGAAGAAGTATTTTGAAGTCTAAAGAATAAAAAACCGACGATAATAACAAACAAACGAATGACAAAAAGTTGAACAAACAAACAAACAAATAGACAAACTAAGGACAAACAAACCAAACAAGCAATCAAATGAAAGTACAAACAAACCGACAAACAAGCAAGCATGACAACAAACACAAATGGAAACGTACAATACTATTCCAAAGTCTAATAATTTACCCTGTAACTTGAGAAGATCTGATCTCTTTTCATCTACATCAGGTCGTTCAGCCTTCAACACTTGATTCAAGCACTGACTCTGCAGACTGCTTCGGGTGACCGTGAAGTTGACAAACGTCACACGAGAACACAAATCCGGTGGAAACTCAATCTGAAAAATATATATATTTAAATATTTATGGAGAAAAATAAAACAGGAACGTGTTCGTAAAGAGCTATTATGCATCTATCCTCTTCCTTCAAAACCTTTATCGATACACTAAAAAAACCTTTGGCTATCCAATTTAGGGCACGGCTAACTCACAGATGGAATTGTAACTTAGAGTGTTGGGTTTTGCGGAGAAAGAAAATTAAAGAACCTGGGGGGAAAAACCCTTGAATCAAGAGAGAGACCTATAGCTCAACTCACATGAGATGCCGAATCCAGAAAATGAAACCCGAGACCCCAGAGGAGAGACTAACAAGTATACTACTGCTACGCCACACCCTTAAATTCCCGTAACCTCTCTTCCTAGAGCATTTTAATGGGAGTAAACCAGTGTAAAAACAAGCAAGGAAAGAAGGAGATGTACTAAGATGAAATGAAACCTGAGACCTCAGAGGAGAGATTGACAAGTACACTACTGCTACGCCCGATCCTTAAATTCCCCTAACCCCTCTTCCTAGAGCATTTTAATGGGAGTAAACTATGTAAAAACAAGTAAGGAATGAAGAAGACGTACTGAAGGATCTCTTGTTGAAAGGAAGATTGTGAAGGAAGGAGACAAATCAATATCCTGGTCACCCAGAGTGATGAGTACTCTGCCTCCCGTCCTGCGTAGTTCTCTGTTTAACACAGGGTTTAGGATTGGGTCATAGCTTTCCACGTCCTGAAAACAATATGTAAAGAACACTGGGTTATGAATGAAAGATTCTGACCAACTTAGTTATCTAAGTACTTGCAATAGAGGCTCCATTAGCCTGCGATGGAAAGACTATATACACTCAATTGCATCAATAATCATTGTCGTGTTTAAAATGTAGAAAATGAGACCGATAGGTACCCTGGGAAATGACAATTACTTTTTGATGTATTCATTTGAGATAGTAAGATGTGAAACGCGTTACCTCCATGCTCTCTGTCAGTGCAACGATTTTTGAACATTTCACGAGTTGTATCACTAGATACATCTAATTAACGTACTTCCCTGTACCATTTCGGTCTCAGCTTCTATATTTTCTGTGTTTTTAGACCCGACAATGATTTTGCAATTAACTGTAAATACAGCACTTAACTCAAATGTCATGAAACAGAAACAGTCCAATTTTAACCTCACTCCATTTGATCAACTAAGACTTACCTGGACAAGAAGAGGGTTACCAAATCGCAAAGCACTTTCCAAGTTCTTGCGGAATGCATCATCAAGGAAGCTACAAGAAAATTGAAAATCATATTAACACTGAAAATTGCTTCCTGCTCGTCTAGAGCTGCATTTGATTTTCTGTTATACCTACACATGGGAATTTTAGGGTTTCAACCGTCAAAAAATCACAAAGTAAATTCTGAATTAGCCCTTAGTAAATTTGATGTCATAAGTGTTTTTGTATGCACGAATTAAAAGAATGCGCAAGTATGTCCAAGTCTGGAGTAATATGGGTAACAGAGATGCGAAAAAACGCTGTAAAACAAAAGAATCCTTAAGGTCAAACAGCATTCCCAGGATTTACCTTGTCTTGCTGATTCTCTTTGCCTTGTACTCATTCATAATAAACTCAGTAGCTTGTCCTGAAGGGTCGATCACCAGTGGATAACGGTTGAATCTTTGCAGCATGATGGCATTTTCCGTACACAGATCGTCTGCTGGGAGAGAGTTGGCTTGCCATTTGAGACGATCATCAGCTGTTGAAAGGTACTGAAACGAATACAAAGTATCGGGAAATAAGCTCGAAATATTCAACTATCCTATCTACACTGGCATCATTAGATCAGCTACTCAGTGTACAATCCCAATCACAATTCGTAGTGAGTAAGCTAATACAGCAGAAGAAGTTGGGTCTCAGTTAGTAATGGTTATTAAGTGCTCAAAACAAGTTGGAAAGCATTTGATGATGGTTGGCAAGTTTTTGAGAGATCATTCTCAGAAAATGGTGGTTAGTACGTTCCAGTTAGTAAGTAGTCTGCAAAAATTGGGAAATGGCTGGCTGCCAACCCCTAATGACCATGAATAATCTATAGCCTCATGAGACTACTCTTGATTAACGATTACATTAAGGGACGGACCTTTAGATTTTTGAGGGGGGTTTAAGCAAATATATAAAAAAAATTCGAGCACAGCTTTAAAGAGTGAAAAAATAATCGTGCATAAGAAAAGTGCTAGAAAAAAATCCAAATTGTGTCCAAAAAAAAATTCCTGCACAGCCATGAGGCGTAAAAAAAATCCTGCACAAAATAAATTGCCCAACCCCTCCCCCCTCAAAAATCTGGTCCGTCCCTAAGGAAGCTATCATCATCAAAGTTAAGGTATCAGGGTACCCCAAACGACCATTGTGCATTCAACTCTTAATAGCAAAAAACCTTTTAATCGAAACCTCAACAAAGTATACATTTTCTGAAAGCTGAATAAATGTAGAAACTATTCCTTTTTTCCTTTTTGTAAAATACATTTATCCTYATAAGTTAGAGCGAATTATTCAAATTTTCACCGTGGCATCTTCGCGGAGCTCGATGACAGCCGGTAATAATCGGAAACCAATGCTTATTACCTTTCCGAGATCACAAGATATTACTTGTCAAAAGTGTGTCTCCGATTTTTGATTATTTGCCCCGTTGCTTTTTTATACGCTCTTAAAGTTATGACGCTGCTATATCACCGGTATGCAAGCCAAAATCCACGATAACTTCGGAAATAAGCAAAAAATAAAAAATCGGAGACACACTTTTGAAGAACAACTATCCAAGATAAYGTCCTCAAAATTTCAGTTAAATCGGTCAAATTCCCTTTGACATCGGACTCAAAATGTAAGGGTAACTGAACGCAAAATCACTTCCGAGAAAAACCCATAAATGTTTCTGACTGAGCGGAAGCGCCTATGTTGACACAAACTGTATTTTTTTTATTACTCGCTATTAAAAATCACTATCGAAATTTTTTTGGGGGGGAAATCGAAGAATATTACATATTTTATCGCAAAATATAAAAATGTAAAAATCGATACTTTTGAGCAATTTTGGGGTACCGTGATACCTTAACTAAAATCATTAGATTTTTTATTTATCATAGACTCGTTCATTATCTTAACAACATCATTAGATGACAATAATATTAGTTTAGACGGTGTGTTTACAGTACCTCTACACGAGCTATGTCTGGTCTGTACTGTATGCCAGCTTGTTGAAGATGATGAGCCCACGTACTGAACAAATTCTGACGATACTGCTGATCAAAGTAACCTAACGAGCAGAAATACCAACACATGTTAACATACAATGAAATAAAATGAATGAAAAATAAATGAAGAAAAGAGGCTTGGGTAACTAAAGAGATACTAAAGAGATGTTTCTTTGTTTGTTTCTTTATTGTTTGCTTGTTTGCTTGCTTGCTTCTTTGAAAGTTTTTTTGTTTCATTCATTTATTCATTTATTCACTTTCATAAATAGCACTGTCCCTTGGGCAACTACAGAGATTACGAAAGAGATGTTTCTTTGTCGTTTGTTCGTTTGTTCCATTCATTCATTCATTCACTTGCCCATTTATTCCTTCCATTTATTTCCGTCCGCCATCCGTTCATTCAGAGTCTGCACATCAATACTTTGAAATGCAACAAAAATAAACTAATGTACACCTACTTGCAAGAACGTTGTCATACGAAAATAGAACATTAGTGATTTAATGGGATAGGAATTATATCAAAAAAACAAAAGAAGATCACTGAAGCTGAACTTTTTCTTTTGTCTTTTAATGAATTCCTTTCTCACTAAATTAAAAATGTTCTAAATCTGTTCTCGTATAACATCCTCCTTGAAAGTAGGTGTATATTTAGAGTTCTAAAGTACCTCCATATGATAGGAAGGCAGATGACAGAAGAACATCACCAACAATGGTACCCATCTGTGTCTGGAAGGCATTGCTTCCTGTCTCCCACCGTTGTCTCTCTACTGACAAGCTACGCAGGAGGGCAGTACTGCGACTAACCTAAAATAGAATGTCCAGACAGATAGGTCATACCTCTGAAGAAGCTAATAGTGCAGTTTTCGTATGACTGTGAAAAGTTCACGGCACGAACACGGTCGTGACACAGCAAGTGATACGTCAGACCAATCACATTGCACGAGAATTTACTCTCCATCCAATCAAATACCCGGAACACGGCATAAACACGGCGCAGACACGGTCATGCCAAGATCACGGCACTTTTAGACCAATCATATTACGCGTGAAAAAAATGAGCCAATTAAAATTCTAGAAAGTATCACGGTCACGGCACGTCACGCTTACGGCACTGAGCTTTTCACAGTCATACGAAAACTGCTCTAGCTAGGCACAAAGCTGTATTTACGCTGCGTGAATCCACACTACTTTGACAATGTGATGCAATTTATTGTCAATAAGAGGACAGACACATAAAACACTGTTGTCTATTTGTTTTTTACAATAACAAGAACGATAAAAACTTCTCATTTTTAGTGATTAAAACAACCAACGGAAAGAGCGCGCGCTCGTTGACGTCAGCTTTATCTGTCTGTCCTCTTACTGATGATAAAAAATAACCAATCAGCGCGAGAGAAATTTGTAAGTTATTGTAAAATTGTTAATAGGACTCACCTTGGCTTCTACGGCTGCCAAGTCAGCTTTGATGACCTGTGCCTGACTGATAAGACCAGCATACTCCTCCTTGTAGCGGGAAATACTCTTCTCTAGTTCAGTTATGACTCGGCTGATCTCATCGTACTAAATCACGACAAAAATCAGACGGCTTTAGCTATATGCTTTGTTATCATAGATTTTATTGATAATAAGAAAATGAATACATGAATAAGAAGAAAACTTAAAGAGCATGTAAAAATGTTTGTAACAATGTTTGGGGTGCAACCAAATGAATTAAAATCCCTTGAGATATAAATAGCAATGAAACTGCCGTCATGTTGATTGATCTAACAAGAGAAGCTTATGAGGAATGCTTTGTTGCTGTCGACCAGCATGGGGGCTATGACGTAACATATTAAAAATATATCTAGAATATCGTAGAACCCGCTCTCATTGTATTGTAGAAGCCCCTTCTCATCTTCCTTTCTTTTCTAGAACATGCAATTTAAAAAATTTTTTATAATGGCCAATAAGTTAAGAGGTGTTGGATGAAAACACACCTTTATCCTGGTGGATTGGGCATCCATTTCCAGTTTCTTCAGCTCATTCCTGAGAGGCTCCACACGGCCCAACATATCAGCATATTGAACCTAGAAGAAAAAAAACATATCATTCAAATATAAAGTTAGTCATCTAGGCTAATGAAACATAATTGTAAATAGTAAATATTTCAGATATGTCATATCGTTTTTAAATCATACGAAAACCGCTGACTCTTAAGGAAAGCGAACTGTCAGTTAGTAGAGCAGCGAGGGGCATTACCAGAGTTGGAATGAAGACCACACGCGTTTTGGCGCGAAAACCCCTGCCAAATCCACAGGTAGGCCAATGAAATCAGGTGGGGTGGGGTGGGGAAGGGGGGTGGGGTTGGGAAGGAAAATGTACAACTTTAAGTCAAACGTTTGGGGGGTTGTCGCCCCTCTCACTACTGTCACCTACCTGTGCAACAGCCCACTTGACCAGGGGACCACAAGCTTGACTAGCTCTGTTGGCCTTCTCAAATGAGTAATCAGGACTGTTAAGGTACTTGGACTGCATGGTGTTTGTTACCTCCTCACTGAAAAGACATGCAAGTCATATCAACGAGAATAAAGCAGGAAAAACAAAGACTAAATGAGTGGTTTACCCTATGCATTGTTGTTAGGTAGCTGCTTTTGTAGGGGAATGAATATCAAACTGTATGTTTAGGTTATTCTTAATAAAGACGACCACCACCACCACCACCACCACCACCACCACCACCACCACCACCACCACTATCATCACTGCTACCGTCTCAATCATTACCATAATCGTCGTAATTTTTACCATCACCATTATCACCACCACCACCATCATAAAGATCATCATCATCATCATCACCATCATCTTCGTCACCACCACTATCATCATTGCCACCGCAATCATTACAATCATCGTAATTTTTACCATCACAATCATCATCATCAACATCACCACTGCAATCATTACCATCATCATAATCATTAAATCCCCTCAAATGTAGTATCACAGTAATTCAACTCTTTCATCCTAATACCTGATGTCTTCAGTATTGAAGTTAACAACAGTAGAAATAAAGTTATCTTTTATGATAACTGCTCGTATTTGTTTCCAGTCTGTTACGCGCTCACCAAGCAGCAAGCAGATGGATTCTAGTGCTAATTTAACAGTTGCTGGTGGGTTGACCATAGCACGGATCTCAACAAGGTGCTGTTTCTTGATTCCCTTGACAGCTGCAATCATACGCATTAATTATCAATTAATCATAATAGATTATTAATGACTAATAGGTACTTAATAATTCATCTAAGCTGAAAAATTGCAAGTGCAGTTTTTATTGGACAGTACTTTTAACATAACACTGTTCAATACTATGCAACCTTACCAACGTCGGCGGTAAAAATAATAATAAAACTCGCATAATTTTGAAAATTATGATGTGCCTTGGGTGTGGCGAGTAATATCCTCTATTCACACATTATATTTCATTGGATGCTAGTGGACCCCCCTCCCCCCACGCTTTATAAAGTAACAAATGTATCTTTAAGTCCCAACCTTGTCTTGCCTCTTCTACTGCCGGCTCCACTTTGGCCAAATCTTCCATAACAAACTTCTGTTTTTCTTTGATTTGCGTTGTTTGTAGCTATAAAGGGAAACGTAATTTGTCTTACTTCGATAGATAACGCAGGGAATGGCTGCCCAAATTTCCCAAACCAGAGACCTATATATAAAGCCCTCAAAGGTGCGTCCTTTACCCCGTCAGACTATCAGTGCTCCTTATAGAACTCATGGTGTATGGTCTCATTTTGTAACAATTCTTTACGAAATGAACCAAGTTTGATAGAGAAAATCCAAGTTAAAGTTTATGCGAATGAAGACGAATCTATATCAGATATAAAACCTCCTTCATGGTCACGATTTCTATGTGTTTCTTTCATGAATTATTGATGAGTATTTAAAGCTAAAGCTACACAGAACAAAGAGGAGTCGAGACAGACGCGGAGATCAATCTGGAGGATTGAACCGTGAACCTCTAGCTCTGAAGGCCTTACACTAACCAACTGAGCTATGCCTGCTCCTAATCACAAGAAAGAAGGATTTCTTAATTCTGCATTCAGAAATGGCAAAGAAGGAATTATGGCCTTTGACAAGAAATTTCTGGGCTAGTAGTTTAATACCTCAATGGTCGTTTGGATGTCAATGGATGAAACTTTCTTCTTCTCTGCTTCTTGTTGATCTTTAACCTAGAGAGAAAAAAGACAGTTATTAAGATGGCCTCAAGAACATGACAGTTCCAGTGGAAATTCCAGCACTTTTAGTCTTCAGGGAATGGAAATAACAATGAGAAATTTTCTTGAATGAGCATTTTAAGCAGGGAAATATGAATTTGACAGATATAAATGTAAAACAAAACTTTTTCTTGACATCTATTTGTCTGCGTACATCTAAGATTGTGAATCAAGGCTGGGGTATGGGTAGTTCACCCTCTTCTCACCTCCTCAGGGGTCTCAGGTTACACTGACTTTGATCAGCCCAGAGGTTAACTTAATTAAATTATTGAGTATTGAATAAAATGTTTACAGTATCCATACCTATCCTACAAGGGGCGGAGGAGGGGTAGATTTTCTCAACTAGCTTTTAAAAGGCTATATTTTTTAATTCTTAGCTATTTCTCACCATTTGCTTTAGCTTTTGATTAGCCAGAGCATTCTTTGCTTCTAGCTCCTGACTCTTGAGCGATAAACTTTTCTGTAGCTCCTCAACTTGGTCTACTGTCTCTCTGATCTTTTGGAGACCAACATTTAGATGGAGTTGTTGTTCTTCAAGATCAGATCTCTTCTCATTAAACAACTTGACCTAAGTAACATGATACATAAATATGCTTAGTAAGCAGGCATAGCAGTCATGGTGTAGAAATGATGCTAACTTCTTAATGATAACAGTCATTGGGAAACGATCATGATAGTGATGATGATCATGACAGTGATGATGATCACGACAGTGATGATGATCATGATAGTGATGATGATCATGATAGTGATGATGATCATGATAGTGATGAAGATCATGATAGTGATCATGATCATGATAGTGATGATGATCATGATAGTGATGAAGATCATGATAGTGATGA